ATCAAGATCCACTGAGCTTCCTTGATTTTTCCAGGCCATCTCTGAGAAGTCAGCATTACAAAGGCAGTATTGGATAGCTATTCACTGAAAGATTTAACCAAAACACCCCTCATTCCTTTTTTCTATTTGTTTTCATGGTTTGGATATAGAGGAACAAATGGTCCTTTCAGTGAAATGTTTTCCCTTATCAAAGAACAGTATTCTAATGGATTGAATTATTTAATTAAAAGATGAGTCATCTGACATCACCCCTGCATCTTTGCAATGGGCCCTTTTACAGAAGAAGAATAAACATTTCTAGAAGCCACTTAGAAACTCAGTTTCCAAAGTAAGTCCCTGGAGATAGACCACACAGCAGCAGAGTCAGAAATATTAATACTTGGTAGTCCTGAAATATAAAAGAAACCCTATATTACTTTACCTTCTTTTATACTTGTTCATGAGGCCTGGCTAGTTCAACCGTTAAGTTCATGGTGCTGGTGAGTTCGAGTCCAATGGTTCCGTTTCTACACAGGCTATTTTGCCTTTGACCAAGATCATTTCTCTCCTCCCCCACTCCATTCTCTCTCTCTTTCAGATGATGATGGATGGCTCAACCTAAATCCATCATCATTAGGGAAGAGACAAGACAGCATGCATATTTCATAACTGATGACTCAGTCAAGGGAGAGATGATGGTATTTTCTTTGTAGGGAGTGGGTGTCTTTTGGCTAAGTGCCCTGTTCCTTGGAGTGAAATCCAAATGTCTGAAAGTTGCAGAACTAACTCCCTAGCGGGCCTTCTCTCCTGATCCCACTCACTCTCCCACCCCTGCCTCCTTACATATTGCTACAATTCAAACTGATGCTTGATTCAAGAAGCAATGATCCAGTCCCGATGCTATCTTCTGTGAGGAGGTGAGGCTGATGTATACACACATGAGCAGCTCATGGTCAAAATCAGCCCAGAGACAGTTGGATGAATTAATTGCTAAAATTCCACCTTCTTTTGCAAAGTGGAAGTCTAAACAATATGGAACCTGGATATTTTTCAAATAGCAACTAGCTGGAGCTGAGTAGATGCTGTCACCTCTCTCTCTAACCCTCACATTTCTGATCATTTCCTACCTTGATCTAGTAGGCTTATTATTTACAGATATGTAACTCAGACCATTTCTTCCTTCTGGGTATGTGTGTGTGCCAATACTATAGCTTGAACTCAGGGCCTGGTGCTCTTGCCTGGCTGTTTTTATTCAAGGCTGGCGCTCTACTACTTGAGCCACAGCTCTACTTCTGGCTTTTTGCTGATCAATGGGAGAGAAGAATCTCACAGACTTTTCTTCCAGGGCTGGCTTCAAACCACAATCCTCAGATCTCAGCCTCCTGAGTAGTATTACAGTCATGAGCCACTACCACCTGGCCAGTAAGTTTTAGCTGCCATTGGCTATTCATGATCCACAGAGACTTTGGGAATTATTAAATGGCTGTTCCTAATGCATCTGCTAAGATCATCTGTTTTTCTTGGGAACCATTTGTGCTTGTTTTTCAACAAATAAATATGACACTAATCATAGACTAGGTTCACAAAGAAGTAACGAGACTATATACTAAGCAGAATCACTAGCTTCTTAAATCCAACTGCTTTGGGAAGATAGTTTCATTCCTTTGGCATGAGTTCTTTTCCATATGAATAAGTAGGCTCTCCTGTAACCAACTGATACTTTAGGGTCACAAATATTCCTGTTATAACCAGAGGGGCCACTGAAAACTTTGGAGGCCACTTCTGATTTGAAATCACGTGTGCCTTTACTTTATAAATAGAATGGTGGATTTTGTGGGCATCAGCTCTTCTCATTTTTATGTATTCTCCTACAGTGGAAAAGGGAGTTGAAAACAAAGCTTTCCGTTCAGAACTCTGGTTCACCATACAGGATTGGCTAGAATCTTAAGAATTTAACCTCCATGTTCTGTCGTGGTTCTCTATGATATAAAATACTACTTGCTTAAGAGAATAGTCCATTAATGAGACAGATAGAGACTGCACCCTGCCCATTACATTGGATTCTCTTTGTATTGCCATGACTTCTCGAGCTGAAGTTTCTTAACCTCTGGAGCAGTGGTGCTCTGGTTAGATGGGATGGTGTATTGCTGTGAGCAAATATCCTCTTAGCATTCACTGGGAGGCACCCTTGGTGGTATGTAATTGGCCACTCAAGCCTAGCAGTTTCACAGGACCCCCTGTCATATCTCCCCCTCTGTCTCCTCCACACCAACCAGATCAGTCACATGCTCCCCTGGGGTCCTGTCTGCCGTCACAGCTGTCAATCAAAGAGGCTATAGTTAAATAAGAAGCATCCACCGGCAACTGATCTTCATGTGGATTCTCATTTGGTCTGTTTCCAGGGTATATTTGATCCCAGAGTGCACATAATTCAAACTGTACCCACAAGTTATTCTTCTCTGAAAGAAAAATGAATGATATTTGTAAGACAAAATGTTGCTGCCCCAAAATTGGTCATTCTAAGGAGAAATGCTCAAAGCTTTATCCATCTCCTAAAATCAAATCCCATAAACTACTTACAGTTCATCACACCATCTGGGAGTATAGTTGTTTTTCCATACCATGTGTATGAGCCATAAGGAAGCCAGAGACTAGGCCAGGGTAGACAGAGTGTTTGGGCCCAGGTACCAGGCAACAATGATAGCCTCAAGTTGAGCAGCACCCAGCTCATGTCTGTCTGTCCTTATCCATCTATTGAGTGTAGAAGACAGTGGCAGATGGGCAGATCCATCCTGGTAAAATAGCCAGGTAACCTCAGACCTGATTTTCAATGCACTTAAAACTCAGTGATCATTAGTTTACATAATGCAAATTATGATTTGCCCATTGGCAGGCTTTTTGTGAGGGTGCTTTTCTTTCCAGGTGGTTCAAAATTTCATTCTCTAAGTGGCATTTTGGTTCCAGTTAATAAGCAACAATGCAAATATATTTTGAAGTATTCACTATTATATTATCAACTTAAGAAATGACAGGATTTTTTCCATAAGTATTTCAGAGAAATTCTTGCTAAAATAGGAGAAAATAGAAAGCTGGGACATGATTTTATATCTTAGGCATATTTTTGTTTGAAAAGCTTACCAATAGTACTGAAGCACAAGAATGAAATAGAACAGTTGTCTGTAGATCACGCCGGGAATCCTAGTTACTCAGGAGGCTGAGATCTGGAGGATCACAGTTCAATTCCAGCCTAGGCAGAAAAGTCTATAAGACCCCATCTCCAAAATGGCCAGCAAAAAGCTAAGCTAGAGGCAAGGCTTAAGTGGTAGATTACCTGACAAGCAAATACAAGGCTCTGAGTTCAAACTCCAATACTGACCAAAAAAAATAATAATCAAATATTCAAACGTAAAATTAAGGGACTGGGAAGTAGGCTCTAGTGGTAGAGTGCTTGTCTTGCAAGCATGAGGCCCTGGGTTCGATTCCTCAGCACCACATTAGCAGAAAAAACAGGAAGTAGTGCTGTGGCTCTAGTGGTAGAGCACTAGCCTTGACTGAAGAACTGAGGGACAGCACCCAGGACCAAAAGAAACTAAAATTAAGTGATAAACTGACCATTTTACCAACATAAATTACAACAATAATATGCAAAGTTATGTGATAATAGTATCTATATACTAGAACTGTAATCATATTTACACGTATATATTATACATTATTTTGTTCCTATCTGTATGTGCATTAAGGAATGGCATTTTTCCCTAGGTAGCTTTAAATTCCAAGAATTTTTTTAAAGAATGATCTCAATACTAGTTGTTTTCTGCTTTCAGTTGGTATAAATATTTAATGTAAGTTCTTGCATTTTTATCAGCTCTCTACACATCAGTACGTTTCTGTGAAATAAAGAATGTGCTTATTTACTTCATGGGTAAAACCATTGGAGTGTACTAAAACTATGGCTTCTAAACTTCAGGAGTCTCATTCAGAGGGGGAAAATACCACTTGTATGAATTTTTTTGACATAATGGTGTAATAAATTGTAGTTTTAGAAATGAAGCTTTTCCTGGGAATTGAATTCCCATGTCTAAGAATATTTTTAGATCATTACTCCCAAAGAATTTTTATCAGTTATTTTCTAAACAAAGACCCTTGGATAGTTTAGTAAATACATTTTAATTTATTAGTTACACAAAGTTTAGTCAAAACATTGTGGCATGAATAAGTGTTCTTGTTAGAATATCTTCAAAACTTGGCATTTAATGTGGCACCTAATGGAGTAGCTCAAATAGGCCAAACTCTGTTCTTTGTAAACGCTTGGAATAGGAAATGAACTTGGCAGTCAGACCAGAGGAATCATAGTTGTTTTTGGTTAGCCTTGCCTATGCTTTATCAGTGCTTTAGTTTTATTAAGAATATTTTAAATGCTTGATTAGATTGGTATTCATCTTTCCCTTTTAATAAGTGACATTCAGATGTGCTTTGAATTTGAAACTGGTTGTTGTTATATTGGGGGAACAAATTTCCATTGATGGGACTGTATCTCTGAATTCTAAATCAATAGATGAATAATATCTGATACATTGCAAATATTTATGTCTTAGTTTACAAAGAGCTTTACAAGTGCAGACAAATCCTCCAGCCAGACTTCTTGATCACCATAGCAAATATTAGCTGGATAACAATGGAGGAATATAACCAAGGGAGATGAAGCAAAAGGTTGCTTAGGAAGAGAATAAGACCTAACCAGACTGCATGACTACGTGTGTCCTGTTGCAACCTTACAGAAAACTGCATTGTCGTTCTCTACGGTGGCCACATAGCAGAAGTGGCTGAGTGTAAAATTTTTTCAGTATGAACGATGGAGATTGGGCAAAAATAGAATCACATCCAAATTATAAGAAAATGGGAGAAAGTTCTCCCTTTCAAATGGCTGCTTGCAAAAAAAAAAAAAAAAAGTGAACGTTAAACTCATTTTCTTCCTTCCCAGAAGGTGTCCTAATCTTGCTTGTCTTTTTCTTTAACAGATAATTCTGAAATAATCAGCAGAAACGGAATGGAATGCCAAGAATCCGCATTGAGAATAACTAAACATTGTTACTGTACATACTATCCTGTTTCCTCCTCCATAGAATTGCCACAAACTGCATGCTAAATAAAGATTTAGTTCTTCTGGACAGATCAGAACTCTAAGAAGTAGTGCTGCTATATCCACATATGAGTATTAAATATGGTATGCTTAGTATATTCCAACCTAAGATAGTTAACTACCTGAGACCAGCTGTGATGTTTAAGGACATAAAAGGATACAGTTTACTTTTAAAAGAGTTTCTAAACATAGTTTCTGTCCTAGGAATATTGTCTTATCTCCATAACTATAGCAAAAAGCCCAGCCAATAGGACTCATTCGATTCAGAATATTTCAAATTTAGCAATAAATGATTAGCATTAGTTTTTAAAAAAAAAAAAGAAACACCTATTCCAAGGGCAGGTTCAATTCTAACTCGAATCACTATCATATCGTTTACTCACGGAATCAAAGGGGAATCTTTCACTTCTTGATGGAATGCACGCTGCAGCAAAGATAAGAAGTGAAGTAAAACAGATACCTGCTCCTGCAGGTCTAAAATTGAATGCAAGTTCAAGCACAAGTACTGGGACACATCCAAGTGTGGGAATTGGTTAGCCTGGAGATGCCGCATTGAATCCTATGATTCTAGAATAACATTAAATAGATTGAAAATGAAACTTTGCACGGTATGAGCTTCATACCCCACCCAACAAAGTCTTGAAGGTATTATTTTACAAGTATATTTTTAAAGTTGTTTTATAAGAGAGACTTTGTAGAAGTGCCTAGATTTTGCCAGACTTCATCCAGCTTGACAAGAATGAGAGGCCCAAGCCAACAGTTTAATCTCAAGGATTAGCCTTTCAAACTCACCATCCAGTTGCCTGTTACAGAATAACTCTTCTAATAGAAACCTAGTCAAACAAGGAAGCTGTAGGTGAGGAGATCTGTATAATATTCTAATTTAAGTAAGTTTGAGTTTAGTCACTGCAAATCCAACTGTGACTTTAATCTAAATTACTATGTAAACAAAAAAAGTAGATAGTTTTCACTTTTTAAAAAAATCCATTACTGTTTTTGCATTTCAAAAGTTGGATAAAGGGTTGTAACTAACTACCGCATGGAGAAAAAAAACTAGTTCTTTTAATTCTTTCACTTAAAGCATATTTTATGTCTCAAAAGTATAAAAAACTTTAATACAAGTACATACATATTATATATACACATACATATATACTATATATGGATAAAACATATTTTAATGTTGTTTACTTTTTTAAATACTTGGTTGATCTTCAAGGTAATAGCGATACAATTAAATTTTGTTCAGAAAGTTTGTTTTAAAGTTTATTTTAAGCACTATCGTACCAAATATTTCATATTTCACATTTTATATGTTGCACATAGCCTATACAGTACCTACATAGTTTTTAAATTATTGTTTAAGAAACACAACAGCTGTTATAAATGGATATTACTTGTAATTGTTTAAAACATCCATTTTCTTTGTGAACATTTTAGTGATTGAAGTATTTTGACTTTTGAGATTGAATGTAAAATATTTTAAATTTTGGCATCATCGCCTACTCTGAAAACTAGATGCATCAACCATGTCTTTTTTTTTTTTTTGGTTTGAGAAAAAAAAGAAATCTGCATTTTAATTCATGTTGGTCAAAGTCTAATTACTATCTATTTGTCTTATATAGTAGATCTGATAATCCTATCAAAAGAAAATCACATTCTAATTGTAATCTTACCTAGTGCTTGTATCGTTGAGTTTGTTTTTAATTTGTGGAAAGATATTGTATCTAACTTGTATTCCTTTGATAGTCTCATCTTTATGTATTATTGATATTTGTAATTTTCTCAGCTATAACAATGTAGTTACGCTACAACTTGCCTAAACATTCAAACTTGTTTCCTTTTTTCTTTTACTTTTTCTTTGTTTATACATTTAACCTCACCTAAAACATAGTATACATTACTAAGAAGTAAATTACAGGAATCATTGAAATATTTTTGTAGACTAATTGTTGTAACATTGTCTCTTTTTTTCCTTTCATTTCATTACTTTAATTTTTTTAATTACTAGCACACAACTATTTTCAGCCCTTTAATAAGGGAGCATCAAAAACATCACTTGTATCCCCAAGCGAATATAGATGACTGTATTTTTTACTACGATATCCATTTTCCAGAATTGTGATTATAATATGCAAAGAGTCATAAATATGCCATTTACAGTAAGAAGGAGGCAAGGCAAATGCATAGATGTACAAATATATGTACAACAGATTTTGCTTTTTATTTATTTATAATGTAATTTTATAGAATAATTCTGGGATTTGAGAGGATCTAAAACTATTTTTCTGTATAAATATTATTTGCCAAAAGTTTGTTTATATTCAGAAGTCTGACTATGATGAATAAATCTTAAATGCTTTGTTTAATTACAAAAACAAAAAATCACCAATATCCAAGACATGAATATATCAATTCAACAAATACTGTAGTTAAGAGACTAACGTCCACTTGTATGGGAGTCACATTTCACTCTTGATTTTCAGGAAATAACAGCACTTCATGGAAATATTCTTTCAGCCATATGCCACTGGTAACATTTCTACTAAATCTTTCTGTAACACTTCAAAATTTTCTCCTTAGTTCTATCTTACAGTGTAAGCAGGAGTCTAATTTGTATCAATTCTATGTTTTGGTTGTAATATTCAGTTCACTCACCCAATGTACAACCAATGAAATAAAAGAAGCATTTAAAAGGATTGTGTGGTCTTCTCTCCCTTTTGTCTTGGACAATTAGATAAACAAAAGATTTTTACATTTATATGCATAATGTTAGGGGACATCAAGAAAGACCAAATTCTGGCTTGATTTTGCTTTGAACTTTGACTTTTTCCGAAGCTAGAAGAAAAAAAAAAAAAAAAGAACTTGCTCATCAAAATGCATTGACTTTTTTTAATTCTTCTTTTTCCTATCTTTAAGTAGTTGCACAAAGGAGTTGGGAGTTGCCATTTAACAAAACGGTCTATGAATACACGATGTCTCCATCCGTGTCACCCTTTTCAACAGCACACCCATCCCTCTCACCCACCCCTTCCCTCACGCATCTTAGTTTTGTAAGATATCCACTGAATGTTTTGCTGCATCCTCCCTGTCTTCTTCATCCATCTTCCCCTTTCCCCTTAACTCCACCCCACTCATTTCAAGTACTCACTTCCTTCCTGATGTTTTAGACAATTTTAAAGCACATCCACATGTAGAAGTCTTTTTAGTCCTCTTTAATATTACCCCTCAGAATCCACACCACCACTCAGCTGTCTTCTTCAAGCCTGTGATAATGAATTCTGACTGATGATAAATGTGAGCATCCATAAGGAAAGGGGGAATGCGTCCATTTCATAAGGAGACAAGAAAGCACCCATTAACCTAAAATGTGGCTTTCAGTCAGCACTGGAGTGGACAGCATGACTTAGAACTGATGTGGCACATCGAGCCAGAAAGACAAGTTCTGTTCTCTGGGGTCCTGGCCAAGCGAACAGCAGGCAAAATGGATGCAATAAAGGGGTGACCTGAGTTCCTGCTGTTTCATAGGCCCTCTCCTCCTCCTCAGCAGACAAAGGGACCCCTGGATTTCCTTCCTCAGCTCTGTGAGACCCAGGGTGTTTCTCAAGGAAGATGCTACCTGCTTTTTGGTGTCTTGGTCCATCTTCTGTTGCTATAGTAACATCTGAGCATGGAGGATTCATGAAGGATAAAGGCTTATCCAAATCACAGTTTGGGAGGCTGAGAAACCCAAGAGCCTGGTGGTAGTGTGGATTCTGCCTTCACTGGGAAAGGAACCAGGCTTCCAGGCCAATAGCCAAAAGCACCCGGGCAGAACAGACCCAGCCTCACATGATGGCAAACGTCTCTCACAGGAATGAAGCCAGTCTCGTCAAGGTGAGGACGTTTTTCTTTCCCCGGGAATTGACACAGTCCAGAAAAAGGACTGCAATCCCATTAATGGACATATTCACTCTATAAAAGTAACACGTCTCTCACCATTATGAACAGTGGTAAACTAAATTGCAGCATGAGTTCGGCAGGACACAAACCAGAGCAGGCAAGATCCACTATTCCTTATCATTCTGGGGTTGGCAGAAGTTACCTTCTGAACCAGGTGACTTGTATGCATTTGTATTCCCAGCTACTTAGGAGCTTCACCATGTAAAGCCAGCCCTGGCAAAAGCACAAGATCCTGTCTCAAAAACAAACACAAAAGGACTGGGGGGAGGGGGGGCGGGGGAGGGGGCGTATCTCAAACAGCTGAGTGCTTGTCTAGCAAGCATGAGGCCTTGGGGTCAATCCCTGCTACTGCCAAGAAGAAAGAAAGGAAAAGCACACCCTCTGCAGGCCAAGATGGGAATATTACAGAGAAGGTTCCCTGTGGCAGATTTAAAGCCTCCTACTGTGTGGTCATGGTGCCTTTCACAAAGGCAGAAAACACACTCATCAAATCAAACATACAAATAAAGATGTGTGCATTTGAACCTCTCCTGTTAGGATTTTCAAGCATAGAAGCACTTTGAACATTTTTTGTATCTGTTTTAAGAAAAGCCTATACTTGCATGAGCAAGTTTTTAGTGCAGAAGACGTATGTCATCAGTCACGTTTTACCAAAAGAAAAGACACACTTTTTTCATGCATTTTTATTGTGTTTATAAAGGCGATATAGATAGGATTACAGTTACATAAGTTGGGTAATGAGTACATTTCTTTTTGGAGAATGTCACCCCTTCCCTTGCTCTCTCCCAGTTTTTCCCTCCTGTGTCCACACATAGGTTATATAGGTCATTTTCTACATAGTATCCAGCGAGCACCACTGGTGCACCTGTGGTCCCACCATTTCTATGCCCTCCTTTGTCCTCACAAAGACAAATGAATGAACAAATAAGACAAAAAGGAAAAAAAACGTAAACAGCAACAAAGAATAAAAGAAAATGTAAACAGCAACAAAGAATAAAACCTCTCATTTCCACTTCCTAGAGTTCATTTCAATGAATGT